CAAAATGGTCGAAGAGAGTGCGAGGAGACAGGGACGCGAAAGAATTGCTTAAATTATATACACGGAAAGAAAATAAAAATAAATTTATACATGGAGTAGCCTATTATCCCAGAATGAGCTGATCGTCATCACGAGCCCGCTCAGACAGGGTAACGATGCTATTTTTGATTTCTATAGCTTGCAATTTGCACGAAAAAAAAAATGAAGCATATAAAGCGGAAAAGAAAATTAACGCGGATAGCACCTAGTCCAAGAATAAACTGATCGTCATCACGAGCCCGTTCAGACAAGGACAGGACACTATTTAAAGTTATTTAAATTGTCGGTAAAAGAGAAAAACAAATTATTGTCGAAGGGGAGAAAATTACTAACGCGGATAGTACCTACTCCAAGAGTGAACTGATCGTCATCACGAGCCCGTTCAAACAGGACAGGATACTATTTCAAATTATTTAAAAATTGCGGTTTACAGATTAACTAAAAAAAATTATAACGCGGATAGCACCTACTCCAAGGGTGAACTGATCGTCATTACGAGCCCGTTCAGACCAGGACAGGATGCTATTTAAGATTATTCAAATATACGGTAAAAGAAATAAACAAACTATTAAAAGAGGGAAAACATCTCCTCGAAAACTTCGTTTACAAATATTCCCAACTTAATTACAACGCGGTACTTTTTAAACAAAGTATTTATCAATTAAATCAAATTTAATTCCCGATTTAACCTATCAAAAGAAAATGAATAATTTCTTAATACGGACTAACAATCAAAAGTCTAAAATCTCCGGTTTTACTACATTACAGAATTAAATCCTATCATTTAATATTTATTTCAAATTATATCCCTTTTTAAAGAAACGGTATATTTGTATTTTCGGTATTTGATGTCAAAATCGTACTGTTGCAAGAAGATGCTCTATCTTGCAAGAGGCCGGACGGACTCACAATTAAATGCAACCATTTCAATGATTGGTGGTCGGTGAGTACGGTGAAGTGGTATCCATCTAGGTAAGCTCGCATCTTTTCAATACCCCAAATACTCCAGATAGCGAGGCATTCCTTTTCTGTAACTGAGTAGTTCCTCTCGGCCGGACTCAGAGTTCTACTGGCATATGCGATGACAGTCGATGCCATCCTTTTTCTGTGTCAGTGCTACTCCTAAACCATGATCAGAAGCATCAGTTTGTAACGTGAACGGTACGGTAAAATCGGGACAACTGAGTATCGGTGCCTCAGTCAAAATAGTCTTCAATTTTCGGAAGGCGGTTTCTTGTTCGTCCTCCCAGCGCCACTTGTGGGCTTTTCGCAGTAGCTTTGTGAGTGGATCTACCACCTGTGAGAAGGACGGGACGAACCTGCGCTACCAGGATGTAACTCCCAAAAATCTTCTCAATTCACGGATCGTTTTCGGTGCCTCGAACTGCACAATTGATGCTATCTTTTCGGGATCGATGCCTATTCCATCTCCAGTGACTATGTGTCCTAGATATTTCATGCTCGGTAAGCAAAAATGACATTTTTCAAAATTGATTTGAAGTTTTGCCTCCCTTAGGCGTCGGAAGACTTCTCTCAAATTAGCTAGGTGATCTTCAAAAGTTTCACCTAGAATGATGATGTCATCTAGGTAGGCGAAAGCATGCGGGTCCATCTCAGGCCCAATAATTCGGTCTATTAGTCTTTAAAAGGTAGCTGGAGCTGAGTGAAGGCCGAAAGACATGACTCGAAATTGGAAGAGTCCCCTTCCTGGCACAGTGAATGCAGTTATCGGTTTACTTCGGGACGATAATGGTACCTGCCAATAGTCACTCTTCAAATCAAGAGTTGAAATATACTTTGCGGTACGAAGCTTGTCTAAAATGCCATTCATATACGGCAGAGGGTAGGCATCCTTCATTGTGACTTCATTAACCTTGCGGAAGTCAATACAGAATCGGTGTTTGCCATCCTTTTTCCTTACGATGACAACGGGTGAGCTCCACCTACTTTTGGAGGGTTCTATTACTCCTTCTTGTAACATTTTGTCTACCTCTTCATTGATAACCTCCTGCATCTTTGGATTCTAAGGTCGGTATCTTTGCTTGATAGGTTCAGGTTTAACTAGCCGGATCTTATGTTCTACGAGATCGGTCGGTCCACGTATGTCGTAAAATGCAGGTAGTTCGGCTTGCAGGAATTAATCCAGGAAATCGGATTGTTCTGGAGTCAGTGACCGATCAGTAAGGGGCGTGATAGTCTGTATCGGACAGTCTATTCCACGGATCTGGACTTCCTTTCTGGGTTCATGGTAGGTTTCAGTAAATTTGGTGCCTTCGGTTTCGTCTGTAATTTCCTGGGGCAATCCTGACTGGAAATCGACTGACTTTCTACTCGTCGTTGGGGTTGCGGCCCGAATTGGAATATTACATGGAGTGGAATTCTTTGGCGGCCAAATTTGGATGCTGTCCTCTTTTATGACTATGGACTCTTTGTCCAGTGTCTTTGGAACCTCGGTTTGACTACTAGCGGGCGTATAGAAAACGTCGGGTTCACATTCGGCGTGAACTAGGGCTTGTACTACTCTGGAGTGGTTTTCGGTCATGAGCTTTGCGTCGGCGGATTCTGATGTAGCGGGTTGTATTGGTTCGATTACCCCAATAGGGTAACAGACTACGGCTTCCTCAATAGGTAGCATCGGCATCTCACCTATCGAAATTTGTCCAGTTCCCAGTTCCAGACGAAACTTGTGCTTGGCTAGGATGTCCATCCTCAGCACTATATCAGTACACAAGTTCGGAAAGTGGATCAGTTCCTCGGAAATTTTCTGGCGGCCAAGTTGCATCGGTACCTGGTAAACATCCTGGACTATAAAGACTATAAAGACTATAAAGACGGCAAAAAAAGTTTTGATTTACAGTGGAGCGGACTAGATTACGTACTAAGCGTACAGGGATTTGAAAGAGACGGGGTTGAGAAAAAAAAATAAAGCAAGACAGAAAAAGTATCGAATACGGTGTCAGGGCGGAAATAGCAAGGGATTCCCTATCGGGAAGCAACTAGGTCCCTGCTCGGGCGCCAAATTTGTAAGGGGTTTTCTCGCCACAGAGAAAACGGTTCCTTACGGATGACGCTAGTTACGGGCGGTTCTCGAGCGCCAGATTTTTGATGATGGTTTACCCCACAAACTTTTGAAACGGCGTCGAAATTACTCGGGTAGCTACAGATGGAGATGAAAAATTCTAGGGGTCAAAGGTCACTTAGACACAGGTAATAGTAGGCCACAAGTAACGGGCTTTAATCGTTGCTTGGGATCAAACAGAATTTATCACTAGCTGAAATATAAGGTGGAAATAAGGTAGGGAATTATTAACCAGTAATATGGCAGGTTAACATTGACACATATATTATGGTTAACTATTTACAATAAAAAAAAATAAATTAAATATTTCAACGCCCACTTCAGTTGTGGTGATAGTCAATATAACCCTGAATATAAAAAAAAGAAACAAAAGGGACGGTATTGATTCGCGACTAGTCTCAATCAGACGTCAAAATTAAATTAAAATAAAATGTATATTTCGGTCGCAGAGAAAAGAAAAAAAAAATATTAATTTGGCTATTCACTAAATAACTGTCTAACCGGTATCGGGAATTAAACTAAAATGTAAGTATTTTGCTATTTAGGTAAAGAAAAATTAACTAAATGGTCGAAGAGAGTGCAAGGAGACAGGGACGTGAAAGAATTACTTCTAGTAAATACACGGAAAGAAAATAAAAATAAATTTATACATGGGGTAGCCTAATATCCCAGAATGAGCTGATCGTCATCACGAGCCCGCTCAGACAGGGTAACGATGCTATTTTTGATTTCTATAACTTGCAATTTGCACGAAAAAAAAAAATGAAGCATATAAAGCGAAAAAGAAAATTAACAAAAATAAACTGATCGTCATCACGAGCCCGTTCAGACAAGGACAGTACACTATTTAAAGTTATTTAAATTGTCGGTAAAAGAGAAAAACAAATTATTATCGAAGGGGAGAAAATTACTAACGCGGATAGTACCTACTCCAAGAGTGAACTGATCGTCATAACGAGCCCGTTCAAACAGGACAGGATACTATTTAAAATTATTTAAAAATTGCGGTTTACAGAATAACTAAAAAAAAATTATAACGCGGATAGCACCTACTCCAAGGGTGAACTGATCGTCATCACGAGCCCGTTCAGACCAGGACAGGATTCTATTTAAGATTATTCAAATATAAGGTAAAAGAAATAAACAAACTATTAAGAAAGGGAAAACGTCTTCTCGAAAACTCCGTTTACAAATATTCCCAACTTAATTACAACGCGGTACTTACTAAACAAAGTATTTATCAATTAAATCAAATTTAATTCCCGATTTAACCTATCAAAAGAAAATGAATAATTTCTTAATACCGACTAACAATCAAAAGTCTAAAATCTCCGGTTTTACTATATTACAGAATTAAATCCTATCATTTAATATTTAATTCAAATTATATCCCTTTTTAAAGAAACGGTATATTTGTCAAAAAAAAAATAAATTCAAATGTTTATTAAGGAAATCAAACTAAATCTTATATCTAAACACTAGCTATAAAAAAAACGGTAATATTTTTACCAAGAAACAATTCCTAATATTTATTAGTTAAATCAAATTAAATCTTTTAAGTAAACCCTATTTATAAAACAAAAGAAACAGTATCGTCTGCTAAGAAACAAATTCTATTATTTATTATTTAAATCAAATTAATTCTTTTAACTAAACACTATCTATAAAATAAAAATAAAGAAACGGTATCATTTGCCAAGAAACAAATTCTATTATTTATTAAAGAAATCAAATTATTTCTTTTAATTAAACACTGTCTATAAAAATATTCCTATTCCTACAAACTAATTCGCTATTTAATATGAAATACGGTCTCAATTTCAAACGTAAAAAGCGGAACAAGGTTTTTTACCTAACGGATTTGTAAATACAAGAAAACGGAAAAAATATCGGCGGTGATTTGATATCTAAAACGGTGTATTAGAGTCAACTGCTCGGAATCAAAAATTATATCGAACTGATAATTTTAATAGCATCTCGGCTCTCGTTCAAAACAATTGATTCCCTCTTCTATCAGAAATCCCACTTAAAGACAGACCTACCGCGCACGATTTTTACATCGGCGTTCGCGCTGGTAAATTAACTGAGGATCGACAGTTCATATCGCGTTAAATATTTATTATTAAAGTGAAAAATTAAAATAAATTGATTGAGGAAAATTGACTTCATTACAGTGTCTGTGTGTGTGTGTGTGTGTGTGTGTGTGTGTCTGTGTGTGTTTGTGTGTGTTTGTGTGTGTTTGTGTGTGTTTGTGTGTGTTTGTGTGTGTTTGTGTGTGTTTGTGTGTGTTTGTGTGTGTTTGTGTGTGTTTGTGTGTGTTTGTGTGTGTTTGTGTGTGTTTGTGTGTGTTTGTGTGTGTTTGTGTGTGTTCGTGTGTGTTTGTGTGTGTTTGTGTGTGTTTGTGTGTGTGTGTGTGTGTGTGTGTGTGTGTGTGTCTGTGTGTGTGTGTGTGTGTGTGTGTGTGTGTGTGTGTGTGTGTGTGTCTGTGTGTGTGTGTGTGTGTCTGTGTGTGTGTCTGTGTGTGTCTGTGTGTGTGTGTGTGTGTGTCTGTGTGTCTGTGTGTTTGTCTGTGCGTGTCTGTGTGTGTCTGTGTGTGTCTGTGTGTGTCTGTGTGTGTCTGTGTGTGTCTGTGTGTGTCTGTGTGTGTCTGTGTGTGTCTGTGTGTGTCTGTGTGTGTCTGTGTGTGTCTGTGTGTGTCTGTGTGTGTGTGTGTGTGTGTGTGTGTGTGTGTGTGTGTATGTGTGGGTGCGTGTGTGCGTGTGCGTGCGCACACGCGTTAGTGTGTATCCACGGTAACTCATGAACGGATACAAAAATAAACACCGAATTTTAAACTTAAGCTTTATTCTGGCTTGCGTTGAACTGAATAGATTTTGGGCAGAGTCGGAACATCTGAGAGTGTACTTTCTAGGGGGTCATTTTTATATTTTATAAAATATATGTTTTTTACGTTTGGAAAAGAAATTTCTTTAAATAAAAGGTACTTCTCATATTATTCTCTATAATTTTTATTTCATAAAAATTTTTCCTAAAATGGTCGGTATTCGAGAAGTTTGACAAAATGTAAAAAAATCAAATTTATATGAAAATTGTTAAAATAGGATATAATTCTTTATAGTTTTTGTCCCATACATAATTTCTCTAAAATGAACCGTATTCGAGATATTTGAGAAAAAGTATAAATATAGAATTTTAAAGAAAACTTAAAAACGGTAAAGAAAACACATTAAATTTTAAACTTTAGCTTTATTCAGGCCTGAGGTGAACTGATTAGATTTTGGGCAGAGTCGGAACATCCGGGGGTACTTTAAAGAGGATCGTTTTAATATTTTATGAAATATACCTGTTATTTACGTTTGAAGAAGAAAATTTCTTTAAATATAAGTTACTTCTAATATTATTTTATATAATTTTTGTTTCATGCAAAATTTTCCTAAAATGATCCGTATTCGAGAAATTTTACAAAATGTAAAAAAAATCTGATTTTTAAGAAAATTGTTGAACTAAAAGATATTTGCTATATTGAACTCTATAATTTTTGTTTCTATACATGATTTCTCTAAAATGGACCGTAATGGAAAAATTGGAGAAACATTTAAAAAATTAAATTTTTCAGCATTTTCGCTGGCAATAAGTGTACATAGAAAACTGTTTCGAGTTAGATGTATGTGGAAAATGTATATATTAAGTTAACCTGTAAATATTTACAGAGATGCTACAATAAGTTATACAAAATAACCAAAAAAAGCCTATAATAACTTGATAGAAAAGTCATGTGTTGGACACATCAGATTTTTATTCATAAGAACTGGTAGGTATGTACATAAGAATACTTTAAAAAATAAACAACTTTTATAGGATTAAGGTGTAGATGATAAAGATTTTTATTTTTAGATGAGAGTTACCCTAGATTAAAGGATAAAGATTTTACAGTGGGTTATATGCTTATAAATGGTGTTATGTAAAAGAGACTTTAAAAGGATTATTTGTATTGATGAAACACATGGAACACATGGAACAAACCGAAGAAATTTGAATCTTACAATACTTTTTATTAAAAATATACATACTTTTTTTTAATTATTAATTTTAATACATTTCTATTTAAATGTTTTAAATAAACCCAGTAGACATATATGCTCTATTGTGTTCGTTTTTACTTTCCCTTTTATTGGTATTGTTTATTTAAAAATATACATATAAAAACTATCTTCCATCAGTAATACCTAAGTATTAAAATAGATAATAATTAATAATTCTAATAATCACATTCTATTATACAGTACGTTCATAAAATGTGAAAATTCTCCATTATCTTATGAGTTCATAATTTTCGGAGGTCGTATGTAAGGTAGTGGAAGTAATACTTATTTTTTGAAGCAACAAAAACGAACTAAAATAAATTGACCTATCAGAGTTTTAGCTCTGCAAATAACTCTTAAGATAATGGATCGTTTCCATCCTTTATGAACGCACTATCTAATTTACTTTATGTATGCAATGCAGCTTTTTTTTCATCTAAAATTTAAAATATTTGAATATATCACAAAACCTACCTAAAAATATTTTCTTAAAACAAAAATTTCGTATAACTACATAAATGAGAATTTTGAATTTGGCGATGCATAGGCTCCGCGCCGGCCAATGCTGGAGCGTTCTCATTGGCTGGGCACATTTGCAAATTAATCTATGCTCCAAAAGATGCTGGTTTTGCCATTGAGTGTAGCATTATCTATAGATGGGCCACTGTTCATTAGGTCAGTCGGTGAAAGGAAGTTGCATAGAAAGGAGCTCATTTATTGAAAGGTCTTGAAGTAAACAGTGCGTCAGTAAAGGAGCAGCACTGATTCTGCCTCATTCCCCATGTTAATTCCCATAAGAAATCGCTAAGGTTCATTCTGCACTTTTTTGTCCAAAAGTCCAAAGGTCACTCGTCTTGACGGGGCGTCACTAGCCAACTAGCAGTTAGTATTGGTAGGATGATCGGTAATTTTGTGGAGTGTAAATATGTTTTTAATAAAAATCTATTATGTTCTATTCCATTTCGATCATAATTTATTTTGCTATAATAATTTGTCTTAAATTTTAATATTTTAAATAGCTATTACCTAAAATGCTTAATTTTTAGATCAAAAGGTTTTAATGTTAAAAAATATAAATAATAATTTAAATGAACTTGAAAATCTTTACAATTGCTTCTATTGCTGTTGGGAGGAAATGGAGTAGTAAAAACACTATTTAAGGTGTATTATAACGATTGTTTAATTTATTATTTATACGGTAAATAAAATCATTCATTTTTATTTTATGAAGTACGGACCTTTCCAAGACCTTTTAAGCTTCGTAGAATAACCCTTTTGTTTTTTTTTTGGGTTATGGAGCCAGACTTTGTTGCCTTTCTTGAAATATTCTTTTGTGTCTTGAATATCGTATCCTTTCTTTATTCTGTCGCTGGCGATGCGAGCTGTCGTCCATTTTTCTTCGTAGCTAGATATATTCTTCACCGGCTAGGTCTTCTCCAGGTCGGCATCCAAACTGGAGGTCACACGGTAGTCTCATCTTACGCCCGAACAATATTTCTGCTAGTGCTTGGCCTCCAAATTCATTGACAGCCGATCTATATGCCATCGCGAAGTGTGAAAGATACTGATTCCAATGTCACCGATGGTTGTCAATTGTCTTATTCATTCTCTCTACCATTTCATCCGATTGTGGGTGCAGTGCCGTAGTTCTGGTTTTCTCGAAAAAATGTCTGCCCTGCTCACAGTGGATCTCCAAGGGCACTCAAAATCTACTGATACATTCTTTTATCAACACGTCTGCAACAATTGTGGCCTTTTGATTTGGAATGGCGTAAACTTCTACCCACTTCGTGAAATAATCCATTACCACCATTATGTATTTATTCCCATCATCGGTCATGGGAAATAGTCCAGTAATATCTAAAGGCAATCCTTTCAAATGGACTACCGACATTGTAAAGCTTCATGGGGGGCCTTCCTTATTCGTTTGGGTCCATTACTCATAGCACAAGTAATACATTTCATACACCAGTCCTTTACATCATCGGAACTGTTCATCCAATAAAACCTTTAACGAATTCTCTTAACACTGAGATGTCCTCCCGATAGACTGTCGTGTAAATCACAAAATACTTCGGCTACTCTAGTCTTTGGAATGACAAACTATGTTTGGAACCATCATCATTCTCTTGTACTCGCTTTAATAAACCTTCTTACAAGATAAAAGAGTCCCACTGAACCAAATATAACTTAAGTACTGGGGCTCGTTCTCTTGTTCTTTTCTAAGTTTGGCATGGGCTTACTTATTGTTGACTATAGTTGTTCTTAGTAGTCCACTTTCTTTGGATTCTGCTCTGTTGCAGTGAAAGCAATCTGGTGGACACGGTCTTTTAGAAAGAGAATCGGCATTTGTGTGTCTTATTCCGGCTCTATATTCGATCTTAAAGTCGTATTCTTGAAGTCGTTTAATTCACCTGGCGATTTTATCTGCCAAGAGTTCTCTTCTCGCGACCCAGTAATTTTGCTCAGGTTTCGAGAGCACTTTACTAAAATAACCCAGTACTCTTTCTTTTCTCCCTGAATCTGTGACAGCACTTCTTCAATTCCCACATTACTGGCTTCAGTATCCAGCATAAATTCTACTTCTAATGGTGGTTAGTTTAATATTGACGCTACTTTTAAATCCTTCTTTAATGGTTCAAAGGCAGTTTGGCAGTCTTTGTCCCAGCGGAATTATCTTGCTGCTTCTGTAAATCACGTTATTGGCTTAGCAATATCTGCAAACTTCCTAATGAATCTTCGATAGTACGTACACATTTCAAAAAGATTTCTTATTTAATATTTATAAATTGGTTGTGGTCACTATTTGGTAGGAGCGACTTTTTCCTTATCTACAGTCACGCCATCCTTACTGACTATATGACCCAGGTAACTAATTTTATTAATTTTATCTTGGAGTTAGTTTAGCAGCAGTTAATCAGCTTGATGTCTTTTAAAAAGATCTTCTTAGTTTTTTAGATGTTCATCAAATGTCTTCCCTAATACTATGATGTCGTCTAAATACACCAGGCATGTTTTCCAGGATAACCCTCTAATACATTTTTCATAAGTCTTTCAAATGTATTGGGGTCGTTTCATAGTCCAAATAGCATGACATTCAATTGCCACACTCCAGATGCGGTGGTAAAAGCTGTCTTTTTTATTTCAGACCATCCGTTTGCTTTGTCAGCTGTTTCGAACTGTTTAAGATAGTTGGTCAATGACATGTTTCCGTCGAAAGTTGGGGCTTCAGGACGGGCAGAATTTTATCTTTTAATCCATCTCATGGCATTTTATTTCACCGCCCTTGGCCTGGTCTACGTGTTCCATTTCTTTCATCTCGTTTTTCTTTTTTTATTTTCTCCTCATCGGAAGGAAATTATTTTCTCCTCAACGGAAGTCATCTTATTTACTTGACAATATTTATATTGAAACAAACTAAACGGCTAACGAAGTCACTTATATATATGGCCTTCCTGTCCGATAGAGGAAATTGGGCTTAAGGATGTAGTTGAAAAGATAAGTCAATTAAATAATACGTTAATATTTGTTTTTATTATCAAGTGTATCATCCTGTAAAATATTTTTTTTTAAATACAAGTTTTCAATTTATTACCAGTAAATGATAACAACGTTTAAATTTCTGAACATCTACAAAATTATCTATTTACTAACTTTAACCATACATTCATCACCATACACACTTACTAATTACTATTATAAACGATTTAAAAATAAATTCCTGTAGATTTTAGTACTACAATATAATTATTTACACCTCTATAATTTGAAATCTAATTTGATATATTTTAATGTGACATTATAAAAAATTTTGACGTTTTCATTTTCA